TTTGATTATAGTGAGTGAGTGTGTGGGGGGGGGGGGGGGTGGTGGGGGGGGGGGGGGGGGTGGGGGGGGGGGGGGGGGGGGGGGGGGGGGGGGGGGGGGGGGGGGGGGGGGGGGGGGCAAATTTTATCGCATTGGGTGGCTGGATTCTCCGATAGGTTCCGGGTTTTAGATCTTGAAATACAGAATAAGAGTAGTGCGGTTCCGATTTGCACTTCAGAGGCGCATTCACCTTCGCTTATATGTAAAGAATTTTGCTCGCATTTGACTCTGTGACTACCAAAGTCTAGGTCGCTATGCATGACATAGTCATATAGTTAAATCAGTTTCTATTTGAATGTACCTCCCGCATCATTTTGGTACAAAGCAAAAACCAAAAAAGTAGCAATCCATCTTTTCATATCGGTTTCCTCTAGGTATCGGCGGTTTCAGACTTGCTTCGGGTCCTCTTTTTAAAGAAATATCCAAGATCATCATCCAAAGGCCCAGCCACACACTCAAGGGGGCGTATATAGTCTGGGCCCGCGAACTGTGCGGATTATGACCCAACAAAATAACGGAAGGAGATAAACTAAGCGATAAAGGGAATTTCAAGGAACAACTTTTTTTTTGTGCACTCCTTTCCTTCTCTTCTTACTTCCCCTTGCTTCTGATATTCTCAACCGATTGGTCTTAACACAAGAGCCCCAGTCGCTATATAGGCAGAGAGTGGCTGGAAAAGGCCAGGCAAATGTGCCATGCATTTACCAGACAATCAGCCGCAGGAGGACCATGACGATGACCGTAGGGCTCGAGAATTGTTCAACTATTTTCAACCTGATAATCCAGCCCTCCTCCCAACATGTGTTCCAAAATATGGTCAACCACAAATCAAAGCAAGCCCTAACCTGGTTCTTACCTCCCTGACCCAGCTCGCGGCGGTGAAGTTAGGAGTGCAGCGCGCAATTATTAGGTATTGGCGCCCTAACCCGAAATAACGAACCGGTAGTTAACACCATTTAGCTTGATCGGCCGGGAAACACTGTATGTGGTCGCCGAAGCAACGCGATCTTTGAATTTAGGTGACAACAGCGTCTGCGAGAATGACGGTGATCGTCTGTGGGTGGGTTGTTCGAATGGTCCTCTCGCGGGCACTTTGTGTGAGGTAAAATATGCAGGAATAATGTCAAGGATGGCAACAATAGATTTGGCTAACCGGATAATGAATAGGAAACCATTACACTGCAGCCGACCCCGGAAGAGAGACATCGTTTCTTTATTGTTAAGGATTTGAAAGAACATCCAACCTATTGCAAGATCCCCTGCGTGGCCGGTGCTCCATACTTTCGATACTACGCTGGGACTCCTTTGACAGCTGCTAGTGGCATCAATATTGGCAGCCTTTATGTTATCGACCCGCGGCCAAATATATGCCTAAGCGAGTTTCATAAGGAGACACTCAGTGTCATTGGGGATGCGGTCATGGAATATTTGGAGACATATCGTCAATCGCTAGAGAGTGGTCGTTTGGAAAACCTGCTTACCGGCCTCAATTCCTTCGTTCAAGGCCAGGACAGCGCCGACCCTAAAAATGAACCCCTTTCGAGAACCCCAAGCTCATCGGAGCTAGATCAGTCACGCACACCGAGCCCCCTCACAATACCGACCGACGGACGAGACAGCGACAAAACGAAGCTGATTAATAGATCAGCAAAAGTTCAAGCAAAACTGGAAGTCAAACCCAGACTTACTCCAAACTATACATTGTCTACAGGGAGCTATCAGAAAACATCACCTGAACAGTCAAGCCTTTTGATTGATCACCCGACAACCAAGAATGGAATACTGTTTCAACGCGCAGCCCAAATCATGCGAAGGAGCCTTGACCTTGGAGAAGATGGAGGTGTCGTAATATTCGACAGCAATGCCGCTCCTGGGTCAGATCCCGATGAAGAATCAACAGAGACATCGTCTGCCTCTGTCCCGCTTGCTAAAATTTGTGCAATCTCGAGAGAACAAAGTAACACTACCGGCTGCGAGGGTCAGCGGAATTCCCTACCAATTTCTCAAATGGATCGGAGCTTTTTCAAGCGTATACTACGCAGGTTTGGTAAAGGTGCCATTTGGTATTTTCACCAAGATGGAACGCTGTTCTCGTCAAATGATGATACAAGTAAATCGGACAGCGAAGACGACGATAATACCTCTTCCCGGAGCCCCAGTATGTCCCAACCACGACTCCAGCCTGTATTGCGGGGAAAGGATCTTCGCGCTCTGAGGAAATACTTTCCTGGTGCTACTCGGATTATATTTACGCCTTTGTGGGATTCTTTCAAATCACAGTGGTTTGGTGGTTGCTTTTGCTGGAGTTCGGCGGAAACTCGCATTTTCAGTGCCCATGTCGAGCTAGGTGGTGTTTTTGGATTCGGCTCTTCATTGATGATGGAGCATAGTCGAATGAAAAGCCAGGAAGCAGACAAGAAGAAGGCAGATTTCATCAGCAATATCTCGTGGGTTTCCCAATGATTTTTGATCTTGCTGCCCTGCCATAGAGGTGTGGTTAATTTCGGTTGGCATTCGTCACTAACCATGATTTTCAATAGACATGAGCTTCGAAGTCCGCTGCACGGCATCCTAGCTGCAAGTGAATTTCTTGCCGAACAGATCGCTTCCGAGTCGCCAAGGTCTCTCCTCGATACCATTTGCGCCTGTAGTCAAACCCTCTTGGATACGTTTGAACAGATTCTGGATTTCACAAAGATCAACTCTTTTCAAAAGAAGCGTCGAGATCACACTGTTGGCTCGTATGAGGATCGAGGTGTGGCAAAGTCGCATGCATTGCCTGAGTCTCTACAGATTCAAACTGTCACCGACATTGTCGCTGTCATTGAAGATGTCGTCGAAAGCATTGCTTTTGGTGCAACCCATTACAAAGGCGGACTGTTTGACGATCCAAATTCCGTTCCAAGTGAGCACGTTGATGTTTCCATTGACGTAGCCCCTGGCGACTGGGTATACCTCTTAGAGCGAGGAGCGTTGCGGCGTATAGTCATGAACATATTCAGCAATGCCCTCAAATACACTGAGAAGGGATCAATATCGGTCCGTATCGAGATTATAAAGGGGACCAAGGGCCCAGGAAACGCCAAACTTGAGAATTGCAACACTCTTGCTTTGACAATTTCGGACACTGGGCGAGGGATTTCGAACGAATACCTTCGCTCTGACCTTTTTACCGCTTTTTCACAAGAAGATCCTTTGGCGCCCGGTACCGGGCTCGGGATGTCCATCGTTCAGAGCATCCTCAAATACCTTGGCGGTAACATCAAAATCAAGAGCCAAATGGGCATGGGAACCATTGCCGAGATCTCAATCCCCCTAACGTGCCCTAAAGCCGAACGTGAAAAAGGCCATATGATTACTCAAGAGCCTTCTGTGCAGTCTACGGTAGATGAACTCCAGTCTCTGAAGCGTGAAATCAAAGGAAAGACCGTCTCTTTCATTCCCATCGAAGTGACTTCACAGAAGGTTCACCCTTCAGTCAGCACAATCAAAAAATACTTGACTGAATGGTATGGTGTTCAACTTCAAACTTTGACCCTGAATGCCCCCGCAGATCTCATTATCATCGATGAATCACAAATATCGCGCATACTATCAACACCATCATCCAAACTTCTGCTTCTTTGTCGGAGTGCGCAACCATCACAAGCTATCATCCAGCATTTGGAACTACTATGCGGGCGCGTCGAATGGCTTTGTCTTCCTTGTGGTCCCTATAAACTAGCGCGCGCCATCCGACGTTGCCTGCAAGGAAAGCCAGTGCGGCCATCTCCACAGGCTTTCAGTGAAAAAACCTCAAATAATTTACCAGACTTTGACAATGAGACAAGCATCCCAACTGTACCCCTCGCGTGTGCAAAGCTGCCCATCGCAAACCCAGTACAACCCTTCCCCACAACCGAAAAACTCCCCTTGACTTCAACTTCGAACACCACAAACACTACGCAACCTCACTTTCAACCACAATTGAAATCACAATCTGGAAAGGAAATTACTTCGGCCAAGAAGACGGTTGACACTGATGCCGCATCTGAAGGACTTCGCATTCTTCTGGTTGAAGACAACCCTATCAACATGGCACTCCTCCGAAGGCTGGTCAAACATTGTAATCCAAGTATTTGTCATGCTGCTGCAGACGGCCAAAAAGCCGTTGAGGCAGTCAAGAAATTGCCTGAAGGGTATCATCTCATATTCATGGGTAAGTCCTTGATACATTGCATACACGAACACTGCTTCATTCCCCGGCGTGGCTAACCATTACAATTAGACATGTCAATGCCTGTTATGGATGGCTTTGAGGCAACAGAGGCTATTCGGGCCTTTGAGTCAGAAAACCAATGCGTATCGCCGACTAAGATTATTGCCTTAACAGGCCTGGGCTCGGATGAACATGTGACAACGGCGTATGCCGCAGGTGTTGATGTATTTGTCACGAAACCTGTTTCTATCAAAGAAATTGCTCGATTGATAGATGATGTCGAAAACAAGGCTCCTTGGACAGAGAAAGAGTCGCTGCGATCGGGTCGACGAGGGTTAACGATTTTTGATGATTAGCCTACCAACGAAATTCTTTTATCGCTACCATCTGCGCAATTGGTTCGTTGGTAGAGACGTAGCCAAAAAATTATAGAAGGGGCCAGGTTCCCAGCCCAAAAAATCAGGACTTCGGTCTTCACACTCCGATGTGTCATGGTGTCCCTCTTTTGCCTGCGGGCTTGGGAGGTTCCGTGACCACGGCTGTCGCTGCCACGAGCCCAGCGATGTACGAAGGTGCTTCGCAGGACGGGCTCTGCGTTATCAAGTGTGTCTCGCAGGATAGGTCTGCTTCAACAACACTCCTCGCAAGGGGGTGCTGTGTCAACAAGACTACCTCGCAGGATAGGTCTGCGTCAACAACAATCCTCGCAGGGGGACGCTGTGATGACAAGTGAGACCCGCAGGAGACCGCTGCATTACCAAGTTCTCCGCAGACTAGGTCCTGCGTCAACAAAGCGCTTCGCAGGGACATCTGCGACACCAAGAGTCTCCGCAGGGACATCTGCGACAAAAAGCCCCTCTAGCCCGTGCAGGCACCTCTTCGTGGTGCTAGGGACCAGTATTCGAGTATCAAGAGTACTCGAAGAAGCAAAGACCTGCGCACCATCTTGATGATGTATTTCGTATTTCAAAATCATCATTGGAGAAATAAAATGAGCCCTAGATAGAAGCAAACTAATTCCAGAATCATAACTTCAAGATTCAACCTTCGTTATCGAGAGCGGTATTCCCAACCCTCCTGTCTTCATGTTTTGCGGTCGGCTGGTCCTCCCGCCGCAATAGAATGCATCTGCCATCAGGGCGTAGAGCGAACGAAATAGACAGTATTTTGGTGCGTCGTGGATATGTTGACCGGGTGTTGATGAGCGTTGATGGTTGTTGATGAACGTTGACGGTCGTTGACGGTCGTTGATGGTCGCTGTTGAGATAGGTAGTTGTAATATTTTTTATTTGGGTTACTATCAAAAGTGGGAAACCCGTCTATTTAAATGTACATCGCTAGTCTCGCCACACAAGCTTTGACCACCGTGATACTCAACACTCCCACTCGATGGCAACCATCTCCGATGGTGCCGGTGACACTTCAATCGCGGTTGAGACAGGTCCCATTAAAACCTTCCAAAAACTTCCTTTGAGAAGAAAAGAAGGAAAGGGTATCCTGCGCCTTGGACTGGTTCGAGTGAAATGGAGACGTGATTACTCGATGCCGAGTTCTCTTCGAAACCACTCAAATCTTTGCCGAGTCAAAGGTTTGGTAAAACCATCAGCAATCTGTTCTGTGGTTGGGACATAGTCAAGCTGCACTCCTCCGCTATCTTGGATCTCTCCCTGCCATTTGCGTTGGATTTCCATATGTTTTGTGCGGGAGTGGTATTGTGGATTTGAAGCAAGAGCGATGGCACCCTGGTTATCACCGCAGATGATCGTGGCGGTTGTTCCTTGATCCATATTCAATTCATTGAGAAGTCTTCTCAGCCAGACGGCTTCTTTGGTGGCTTGCGTTTGCCCTAGAAACTCGGCTTCGCAGGTTGAAAGGGCAACAACGCCCTGGCGTTTCGATTGCCAACTGATTGCCCCGCTTCCAATGTTGAAGAGATAGCCAGCTGTGGATCGTTTCGTGGCGCGACATCCTCCCCAATCCGCATCTGTGAAGCCTCTCAGGGTCTGAAGCTGACCTTGGTAGGTGAGTCTGAGGTTCTTTGTTCCTTTGAGGTACCGCAGGATGCGACGGGCCAGTTTCATGTGCTGGGGCCCAGGGTTTGAGAGAGATCTGCTAGCGACAGAGACCGCATAGGCGATGTCCCCCCTGGTTCCAAGCATGATGTACATTAGTGAGCCGACAATGCGTTGGTAAGACGTCCTTTGATCTGGAGTGCAGGTGTAGTCTGGACTATTTTCCGGAAGTGGTGAGGTTTCGATCGGCGTACTGACGGGGGCGCAGTTGTCAATTCCAAGTTGATGAGCGATATTGTCAATGTATGCCTCTTGGCTTAGGAGCAGTCTCCTGTTTTGACGGTCTCGCTGGATGGACACCCCGAGATAGTAGCTGCATGGCCCCAGGTCCGTCATCTGAAACCGGTTTCTCAGGCTCCGCTTGATCCTCTTGATCTCAGCGATACTCGGACCCACGATCAGGATATCATCAACGTATACTGCGATGTACACACTGCTCCGGACGAAGATACCGAGATCGGCGGTGATTGGCTCGAAGCCAAGGCTGCGAAGGAAGTTTGTCAGGGTCTGGTACCAGATCCGAGGGGCCTGCTTCAAGCCATAGAGGGCCTTCGAAGCTTGCAGACCCTTGGCGTGCCGTTCGTCATGTGGTGGGGCTGTTCGACGTAGATCTCGTGGTCGATATCTCCGTACAAGAATGCGGTTTTGACATCCATTTGTTCAATCTCCAAGTCCAGGGCCGCTCCGATGGCGAAGAGAGCCTTGTAGCTCATTGGCTTGACAACCGATGCGAAAGTTTCATCATAGTCAATTCCTTCTTCTTGTGTGAATCCTCTCACTACCCATCGGCTTTTGTGGCGGATGATTTCGCCATGCGGCCCGCGCTTGAGTTTGAAGACCCATTTACCGCTGAGCACCCGCCGATCTTTGGGAGGACCCACAAGCTCCCACGTGTGATTTTGGTGGAGTGAATTCACTTCCTCAAGCATGGCTCTTTCCCAGTCCACCCAGCTTGCGTCGTTTTTTGCTTGGCTCAGAGTTTTGGGTTCAAATGGTTCCGTCTCCTTTGCAGCCATAGCCAAGAAGGTTGGGATGACGTTTTCTTCAGGTACGTTCAAGAGCGCAAGCTCTTCGTCCCCATCAGGATTGTCCAATGCGGCTTCCGAAGCCCGAGGATTTAGTTCAGGGTGGTGATCTAATATTCCTTGTTGAACTTCATGGACCGGCCGATGGAGCTCTGAATATTGTTGCCGTTCTAAAATTGGCCCTCGTTGGTGTTGCTGGTCGCCACCGGATGGTGAATCAATCCCAAGGACAGAATCCTGATAATCAGGTGATAGTGGCCCGAGGGTGTTCCCTCTCCGTATGGACGATAAGGTTATGTCTCCTTGTGCAGCAACCGCGTCGCCCTGTTGCTGGTCGCCACCGGGTGGCGATTCAATCCCAAGGACGGAATCCTGATAAGCAGGTAATAGAGGTCCGAAGGTGTTCTCACTCCGTGTGCGCGACAAGGTCCTGTCTCCCTGTACAGCAACAGCTGGCTGCGAGTCATCGTCACTCGTTTGGGACAACGCTTGAGTTTGCGAGTTATCGTCACTCGGCTGGGTAAGCACTCGCGAGTTATCATCACTCCGAGGCAGTGTGTGCGAGATATCGTTTCTCGACTTAGGTAGGGCCCGCTCTGGGGGATCCATCGACCATTGGCGCCCCGAGGCAGGCACGGATGCTTGCCGTATTCCTACCGACGGTTGGTTTATTAGTCCCACCGTCCCACTCCCCCCTGCGACAGCAGCCGTTGCCTCAGGTGAGCCGTCTTGTCTGGCTCCCACATCTTGTAAAGTCTGTGTGGAGGGAGTTGTAAGGACTTCTTGAAATTCAGCGTTTGGTGTTCCAACGATTCTCCCGTCTCCCAGGAGGATACGGTAGTTGGTATTGCCCTCGTAGCCCAGCAAAATACATGGCCTTGTTCGTGGATCCGTGAGCTTCTTTCTTTGCTTTGGCGGAATCAAGTATTCTCCTTTTGATCCGATGACTCTTAGTCTTGAGAGGTCAGGTCTGTCGCCGTACCACGCTTGGTACGGAGTCATGTTGAGCTTCGATGACGGCGACCGATTCGAGAGGAAAGCTGCAGTTCGAGCAATTTCCGGCCAGAACTTAGACGGCAGCCTTGCATGTGCCAGCGTAGGCCCAAGACGGTCATAGATTGTCTTATGAGCTCGTTCGGCAACCCCATTTTGCTGATGTTGATCCACTCCTGTCACCTCCGCTTGGATTGCGCGCGAGAACAACATAAATTTCATCTCGTCTCCCATATGTTCAGATATCCGGTCCAGGCGTATTCGTTTGCATTTTCGCTCGGGGCGCTCGTTGTGGTCGAGGAAGAACCGCAGTGATTCTATGACGAAGTGTTGTCTTCGCGGTATCGGGAAAATCTCGATCCAGCCCGTGAAGTCGTCAACGATGGTTAGCCAGTAACGGCTACCATCTAGGCCGTCATCAAATGGCCCTGCGACGTCAATATGGAGGAGGTCCATTGCGTGTTCTCCTCTCCTGCTGACTCTTGATCTTCTGTGAGACCTTTCGATCATTCGCCCCTGCAGACAGGGATTGCATGGATGACGTGTCTCCATGTCCCGCACGCCATGAGCTTGCTGCTTGAGTCGCCGAAGGTTTGCGTCACTCATATGAGCAAGCCGGCTGTGCCACAGAGACATTTGTGGGCTAACATGGTAAGAGGTGAAAGTCAGACTTGCCCACAGATCGAGTGCGTAGACTCCATGATATTCACTGGCAGTAAACAGGTTCTTTCCGTTTGACTTAATGCGAAGGATAGCATCCCGGCTTGAGAATTCGACTTTTGCCCCTCGTTGGAGAAGCTGGAGCACCGATATGAGATTGGCATGTGCAGATGGAACATACAGGACGTTATCAAGCACTAGCCATTTCTTTCTGCCGCGTACATTGCACAGGATATTTACTGTTCCCACGCCCGATGGAGCTGTTGAGATATCAATGCCTCTCAGTGGAGGCCCATGATATTTAGCCATTTGGACAAACCTGGAGGCGCTATTGCAAACATGTTGAGCGCATCCACTATCCACGATCCACGCGTCACGGATGGAGGGGGTCTTGATCGCCATCATAATGGGAATATGGTCAAACAGGGCGAAATTGCCCTCGATATCGTTTCCAAATGCTTCGTTGACATCTTTTCCGAAGACTTTCGTTGCCATGAAAGTTGGTTTCTTCGGATCTTTTGGGCCACCCACATCGTCATCCTCGTCATCCGTCGAGGGCCGCCTCTTCGACTGTCTGCGTGCGCCCGTATGCATTCTGCCTGGCTTCGGCTTCGGTCCATCCCCGTCTTTCTGTTTCAGTTTCGGATTCTTGGTGAAAAATTCGGAGTCAACGTGATAAGGTTTTCGGCAGAAGGAGCAATATGGGACGTTATCGATCTCGATTCGACAAGTAGCTCCGTCCGACGACGGGATGAGCTTCTTATCACCTGGCCCACGGACTAGAGCAAGAGCAGGAAGTGCTTGCGTCTCCATTGCTTGTTTACCCAATTGCCCCTTCCTATGCTCTTCCTCAATTGCCTTATTCTCGATATAGTCGAACGTGGGCGCCGCTTTGGTGACGTTCCCATTTGCGTCTCTTTCATTGACAAGGTCCATTTGTCGAAAGATATGATCGCGGAAGCTCTCGTACTCGGGGCCGAGTGCATGAACAAAGAAAAATGTTCGCTCAATTTCGGAGGTCACGCAATCAGGGTCAAGAAGGAGCTTTTCAGCATGAATCTTCCTGATCTCTGCCCCCAGCGCTTGGGTGCTCCCACACTTGTCTCTTGTGAGGGCCATGTATCGTCGTTGGAGGCTAACATACGTGCCGGAGCCTTCCGGTTTGAAGTTGTCCTGGACTGCCTTAAGCAATGCTTGAACTCGAGGTATCTCAAAGGCATTGATTCTTTGCGCCGCATTGTGTGTCAACTTTGCCGTAATCATCGCAGAATAGAACTTTTGGCGGTGAATCCATTGCCGTGCTGCTTCTTCTTCTATCGGTGGAGTCGCTCCATCGTCGGCAACCGCAGATATCCGAATGAACTCATTGACCTTCTGATTCCACCGAAACCAGTCGCTGGCATTGTCAATGTTGGAATTCCGTTATAGAACGTATTGATTCCGAATTGCTCGAACTTTGCGATTTCAGTCATGTCGGCAGAGGATGCTCCTCGGAGCTGAAGAATTCAGAGCTAGATATGTCGTTGGGCCGATCAGAGGTAACCGAGCCACTATTTGATGACCGAGGAGAGCGCACCTCCAAGCCGAAGAGTTCAAGGCTTGACGCGGCACTAGGAAGGCTTGAGACAATGGAAACGCTTCGATCTGATGAGCTTGGCGTAGGCATCCGAGATGGAGGAGTATAGTCGCTGTCTGAGATCCCCTGCCGATTGAGAGAGTACTTGTACGATCTAAAGAAGTGGGGGAAACGGCGTCGGTCAACTAGATATTGCGGCTCTCTTGGAGGGAAGTTTGAGGGTCTGTTTGGCCGGAGTTCGTAGCGACTCGAGTTGCACTCGTTGGAAATGAATGGCTTGTTTCTATCCACGGGACTTTGAGGGGTCGATGCCAAAGCCTCAATACTGTTTTCTGATCGACTGAGATTATCCGAGATGGAATGAGCTTTGGAGGCACTTGAGAAGCCTTTCACCGAGTTGCGAGGATCGATGATTGGGATAGTGGCGTTCGACGCTCGGCGTATGCGGTCTTCGGTAGACTGGTGCCAGTAGGCTCCTCGGAGTGCGCTCGGAGAAAGTGAAGGGAAGTATGACTTTTGGATTTGCTTGAAGTGCCAGTGGCAAGTGTGTCGGAGGTACGAGAGAATCTTCAGCTCCTCGTCTGTCCAAGAGTGTCTCTTTTGTAGTGTTTTTCGCATTTTTACCTTCCGAAATGGCCTTGTGGCTGGTGACTCCAAGAAGATAGATACCGAGCTTGTTGAAAATGGTGACATGTCTCAGCAGTAGGTAACGTTTGCAGTTCCTCGTGGCAGTCCATAGTGTAACCGTAGCAATCATGGCACACTGTCTATGGCTATTTGGCGGAGAAATCCCTAAGGCTTGCTGCAAACGGCGACATGTCCCGGCTATGGAGGCAACCTTGCGATACTGCGTGCCCTTGTCACAGTAGCAATGATAGCATGCTGTCTGTAGCTCTTCATTGAAAAGAATTTCCTCCAAGTTATTGCTTCAAGAGAGGGTTGAGCAATATGACATCGTATTTTTCATCAAGTTACTGAGAATATGTGATCAGTTTCTGAAGTTCATGGAGTTGGTTTCTTGACAGAGAAGCTTAGCTGTAATCATAGGCAAGGGATTTTTGGTATTTAGATGCCTGCATGCCCAAAGTTAAAGCCACTCGGGCTCATAACCTGTTGAGATAGGTAGTTGTAATATTTTTTATTTGGGTTACTATCAAAAGTGGGAAACCCGTCTATTTAAATGTACATCGCTAGTCTCGCCACACAAGCTTTGACCACCGTGATACTCAACAGTCGCGTTGATGGTCGTTGATGAACGTTGATGAACGTTGATGTGTGTATTGTGGTATATGGCCAGGCGGTGAAGTTGAGTGATGGTCACTAGACTTCAGCAAAGCCCAACCAAGCCCATTTCTATGCACACAACTACGGTAATTGTGACTAAGCAACACCGAATGGTCGTCCCTCCCATCGGTGAGCCAAAGCAAAAACCAAAACCAATGCAAAAACCGTAAAAATTCACCAATTCAATTCCAACCTTGGTTCTCAGCCTCTGTCCCTTCTCTATCAATAAAAAAAAATAGCTCATTGTTTACATCAATATGATCTGTATTACCTGAGGCGTTTTGTTTTTCCTGAAAAGCCTCATGTGCGCAACGCCAGTGATCTCTGCGAATGGCAAGATCGTCTTCAAACCGAATGTCCGCACGAGATTCCAAATGTGAACGGCGCTGTACTCTCGCATTCCCTGAAATTGACGACAATGGGGACTTCGATGCTCCTTTTATTATTCGTCGGCATTTTGGAGTTGGCATTTTATGGCTTTGCAGTTTTTTAATTGTTTGTTTTGCGAGGTTTAATTCTTGAACCATTGCTTTGCCACCAGATATCGCACGAGTGATGTGTTTTTGCACTTTGGGAAGATCCAATTCATCATTTTCGAATAGTGTTTCCAATTTATCTTCAATTTTTGAAAACCTTTGATGTGAATCCGGTGGTGAATTGGTTATTGAACTTGGAATTTCCGTTTCAGGAGAGGGTGTATGGCCAAAGAATTGAACGATTGGTTCATTATCCCAATGAGGATCAATCTGATCTGGTACAATTTTGGCATTGAAAGGCCAAAGTCCAGTGTCTTTGAATGATGATTTAATCGTTGAAGATTTGAAAGTCTCTTTGCGAACTGTTTTGATGATTCGAAAAAAGTTTCGTTTATCGTCTGCATCGCCACCCCATCGCTCAACTTCATTATTCATTCGACGGAATTTTTGTTTCAAAATCGAGAATGGCTTGCCGTCAAGAGGTTGACACCGATGAGTCATTTTTGGAATAAACCAATAAGGTATAATGTTGTAACTTTGACAGATGTGCTCGAATTCTGGAGTGCCGTGAGATCCATGGTTATCCATAACCAATACTCTTGGTCGACCTTTAGTAACTCGTCTTTTTGTTGTATGATGAAAATCCAATAACCATTGAACTGCGGTTAAATCATCAGTCCAACCTTTGGTAGTTGGTTTGATAATCTTGTAGTGATTCATGCTGTCATCGCCATCGTACCAATCATCCATTTGTTCAACACCACGAATCAAAAACCAAGGATGCATGACCCAACCATCGGCGGAAATACACTCAATTCCAGTGATATTCTGACCAATTCCGCCTGTTCCAATTGTTTCGTTTTGACGAGTTGATATGACATTCTCTTTGGTTCCAATACCTAATTGGAATCCAGTCTCGTCCCAATTGTACAATTCATTTGATTGAATTTTGTTTCGTTTCAGGAAATTTCCAAAGACTTCATACCAATGAATCAATTGACTGTAAACTTCGGCTTCAATTCTGGCTTTTTCCATAGGTTTTTGGGTACGCAAAGTGATATGTGGCGGTAAATGTCGAACAAAATTATAACCGTACATTTTGCTCACTCGTCGGTCGGAACCGCAACTTTGCAAAATGCGATTTGCAGCACTTTCAATATCTAAAGCAGTAGGAGGTGTATAAACCGAATTGAGCAGTTCAATCCAGCGGATTAATGATTTTTCTTGCGAATCATTAATGCTTTGTTGACGGGTGTACATCCTTTTTTAGAAAGGATGCCATGTTTCCGGTTGTTAAGCTTGTGCTTTGACACCCCAAAATGGGCTGCTGCAGACGCGATACTTTTAAATTCTCCGGAAATATAGGCTTGCAATGCATTTGAGAGATGGATCTCTTCATTTTCGGCAGAATTCGGCATTGTTTTGGTAGGAATAATTGAGGTTGAAATTGAATTGGTGAATTTTTACGGTTTTTGCATTGGTTTTGGTTTTTGTGTCGGATTGACGGATACTGGTATGTGCTAGTTAGTATTGAGGTGTCCCATTGAGATGCATTGATTGTTCTATCTGGATCTTGCTGTTGAAGTGTTATCAGATCCCAGGAGTCGTTCCTAGCGTGTTACAACGCTGGTATGCCAAGCGTACCCCGTTTACCATACAGAGACAAAGAGGGAATGGGTACTTGATGAATAACCCTGTCCTTAGTGGTAAAATACCACCCCTCAGTTCGACATTTTGCTTTGGCTCACCGATGGGAGGGACGACCATTCGGTGTTGCTTAGTCACAATTATTGTTTTCGGCCCATTGTGTTGAATTAGACAAGCAGGCTAGAATAATGCAGCATGAAGGAGCTATCCTGATCTACTGGACTGGAGGGTATGGGTGAGAATCAAATAAGTGAATTTATCTAACCCAGGTAAAACCTGGGGAAAATAGGATACTCTTTAGATACATGCGTGGGACCCAGTTTACTATGCTAGCAGTATAGAAACCTCTGTCGTTCAGGGGTAATCTGCACGTATATCGATTCCTATTGGTTTATCCATGTGGGACAACAACCAGGCCAGAATTGTGGGTTTTAGCGATGCACTTCGGGAATTAATACCCAAGAGAATAGAATTAAGGATAATTCTCAACAAAGAGTGCTCTTAAAACATATTTTCCAAGTGATCATAACTCCTGGCAGGACCGACCCATGATTATATTGTCGTTTTCCCCCTCGTGGTAAACAAACAGATCCCTCCATACATTCCATATGTAGAAACAGGAAATGCCTCTCAGTTGGTAAGCTGTCCTGAGACGTTTCTCTTTTAATTAAATAGCTCATATTTGTATAAATATCACAAGTCGGACTTCATACTCTGACAGCTCTTTGCATTAAAAAATTACAACTATTTTTGCTTCATGCCATATATATACCTTTCTGGTAAGAAGCCTTGTATACTGGACAGTATGATTGCCGCCAGAGAAGCCATTTGTTCACGCAAGTAACATGAAAAGCATGGCCACAGGGGAGGCCGCGAACTTGGATCTCATCTTCCATGATATCTAAGCATATAGCGCATGCATAGTCGGAAAAAGTTATATCTGGCACCAGCGGAGATAACATGTCCCGTGTAGCCGGAAAGCAACTTTTAACACCATTTGGAGTAAGAGATGATTCGAGATACACGTCCTTACCTGAATTCCCATAGGATAGTATTGTTCGGTCTTGAATCATAGCACCTGCTTTGATTGCCGAAAAATGCAATGAAATTTCAGCTGGAGATTGGGGAAGGGACTCTGATAATTTGAGGCTCGACATGGTGTTCAGGAAATTCAAAGTTGGAGGTTGAAGTGAGTTCATTCTTTGTCACTCGTTAGCATAAACTTTTATCATAGGCAAATAAGATGTTGACGTAGTGCCTTTGTTTGATTTTTTGAGTCTTCCATGTTCTGAATTCCGTCATTGGCAGGTTTTTATTGAGGTCATCTACGGTCGGGAGCGGCTGCGCCTGCTTTCGGAACAGGCTTGTTCGTGGCTGAATGAGTGAAGCAAAAACTGCCACAGGACTACTCTGCGCGGAAGGTCCTCGATAGCAACGGAACCAATGGAAAAATGCGGCGGCGAATTAGAAAAAAAAAATGAGTTTAACCTTGAAAGACTCGTTAGTGATTGCTTACCTTAGACCGATGACCAAGACTACACATATGACTGCCGCGATAGCAGGGGAGGTAGTGGGACCAGTTGAAGTCCCTGGCATCTCCTTCTGTCACTGAGTAAAAAGCAAACCTTAGAAAAGCTCGTAAACTCAGGGAAATACAATGTTAATTTATCCTCCGCACTTTACTTGTCCAATGTGCGGGATTTTTCTGCGCCATACAAAGAGATTACGAAAAAATCTCTTGCTCGGTCGCCGATTACAGTATTCAAGTCTAACTTCAAGTGGTCAAGTTCGTAAATTCTTCTTGAGGAAATAGGTGTTGTGGGCTCGTTCACGTTAATATGTGATGGACTCATCATCATAGTTTTTTTGTCCGAACTATCTCAAATTTTTGGATGAGATTCCACGTGCAACTATAAAATGACTCAGACGACTAGTATATGAAATCCTTAGACCTCAATTTGAACACTTTTCAATATTCAGAACTGCTGCTGGTTCTAAAGACCTGGTTTAGGCGGCCGATCCAAAGCCGAGAAAGGGTGATGAAGCACAAGCAGGTTAGGTCGTCTCCTTACCAATGGAAAAAATCGCTTTCGAGGGGTGCAACTCTAGGTTCGAGTGCAGTTAGGTATCTACCAGACAATCTTTGCTATGAGCCCCTTTGATCAATAATATCACCGTACAAAGAATATCCGAAGCTAGCGGAATGGCAAAATTCAGGATCCGGGCAGCTCATTTGACTTCAAGATTTCTCTTTCGTGATGCTCAGCCTCGCTGTTTGATTTCGAAGCGCGCGCGCTAACCCCGGATGGGTGGTCAGAGCGTGGTTGCAGGCACATGCTTTTTGAAGTTGACAAGCAAGCCGCAAGCAGTGGCGCCCAGGGCCAATCGTGATTTGCTGGGCAAATCCCTCACGCAAATACTTATTATATGCGGCAATTTTTGAAATTACGATAACCGGCGACTATAAATTGAAATTTTGCAGGCCTGTTCGAATCCTTCGCCCTTGATACAATCCTGCGAGTTTTATACCATGTGGAAGCCACGGATAGACTTTCTCGCCCTGCATTGTACGTGCTTCGACATCTGTACAATCTTCCCCGCATTCTAATTCTTTTTGGCAGACGCGTGGATTATCACCCTCAGCGTGCTAAGCTTGGTTATCATCTACCCTTATGGTAATCTGAAAGCCATCGATGCTTATTTCTTCGGAGCCAGCGCGTCGACTGAGTCGGGTCTGAATACGTGAGTATTTTCTTCATTTTTCTTTTCGATATCATTGAGTCGGCTAAAAAAGGACTTTTCATGGGCGTCAAGTGTCGACGTGAAAGCTTTGAAGACCTATCAACAGGTTTACATATACATCATTCCAATCCTGGGAAATTTGGGATTCATCAACATCATCGTAGTTGTATTTCGGGTTCGATGGTTTGAAAAGCACCTCAAAGCAATCGGTGAGAAGTCTTCCAACCCCTACTCAACGCCATCATCGAGAACTGACTTGCCTCTCCAAATATAGCACCGCATCTTTTGAGACCAGAGACTCCCCCTGAACAAGACGCAGAGGCGCAGTTCAAACACAAAAGAAATTTGAGCAGCACCATTGATAGAGCCCCAAACGATGGGCTTAGTAACCACGAAATATACGACTCGGATAAAGAAAAGGGGCGTGTTGAGGCTCGGGACACATCTTCGAGGTTGGTTTCGATGCCGTAGGTCAGCATAGCAAGCTCTCAGATTCTGACTCATCCGTTAGGGTTTCCTTGGAATTGAAGGATGCGAAAGCTGATGACACAGCCGTTTCGAATGTCAACTCCGGAAAGCAAACCATTAAGTTCGCTGAAAACGATCGGCTGTTTTCCGACAAGGACAAAGTTCTGTATATTCCGCCTCCGTGGAGACGTGAAAGAGGTATATTAAGATCAGACTCAAGGTTTCCCTCCGTGTTCTCACGAATACTCCGCAGGGACCTCGTTTACTGAGATTGATGAAAGGTTTGATGATGAAGAGGATGGTAAGTCCCGATAAAATGGCGCATTCAAATTAATCGCTAATATGGTTCATGAAAGGACGACCCGAGAAAGTCCTTAGTCGTCAACAGACTACCACAAGCATGCAGTCACGTACTCGCACCCTCGAGCGAGTTATAACCTCTGTTTTCGTTTTGGGAACCTCTTCCAGCTTTGAGAGAGGGATCCAAACAACAAAGAAGGGTGGCATGAAGCAGCTCCATTTGCCGAAAATGTCTTCACACGCCACAATAGGCCGGAACTCCCAGTTCCATAATCTGTCTGCCGAAGATCGGGAAAGACTCGGCGGTATCGAGTATCGAAGCTTGAAGCTCCTGTTAAAAATTGTTGTGGGATACTTCTTTGGTCTGCATCTCTTTGGTGCAATCTGCCTTGTAGGGTGGATTCTGCATGCGGATCCGAAATATCGTGGCTACCTTGCTGAATGTGGACAAGGCAACGTTTGGTGGTAAGTCGGCTTTGTCAATTAAAATCAACGGCATAGTGACTTATTTCGTTTGCCGGGCGATAGGGGCTTTTACTCCGCTCAGACGATGATTGACAATCTTGGCTTTACTCTGACACCAGATTCGATGATCTCCTTTCAAGATGCGACCTTCCCAATGCTTCTCATGAGTTTCCTAGCATTTGCCGGGAATACATGTTATCCATGCCTTCTTCGGCTTATCATCTGGGTCTCCTACAAGGTTTGCCCGGCGAAATCCTCGCTCAAAGATCCACTCAACTTCCTGCTCGATCATCCGCGACGGTGCTATACGCTACTTTTTCCAAGCCGGCCAACGTGGATTCTCTTCGGAATCTTGTTCCTCATGAACTCGATCGATGTTATTCTCATCGTTGTACTGGACTTGAACAATCCCGCCGTGAACAACCTCGCACCTGGTCCTCGACTTCTCGCTGCTATTTTCCAAGCCGCATCATCACGTCATACGGGTACATCGACTTTCAACTTGGCTGATGTGAGCCCAGCCGTCCAATTCAGCTTGGTCGTCATGATGTATATCGCAATTTTTCCGATTGCCATTAGCATCAGAGCTTCCAATGTTTATGAAGAAAAGACACTGGGTATATATGGTACTGACGACGACATGGACGAGAATGATGGCCGGTCTTATATTATCAACCATATTCAGAACCAACTGAGCTTTGACTTGTGGTACATTTTCCTCGGCTGCTTTTGCATCTGCATCGCCGAGGCCGGTAAGATCGCAGATACGTCAATTCCAGTAAGTGATCAATGTCTAATCTTGCGATAACAACATTAACGATTCCAGGCCTTTTCTGCATTCTCGGTGCTATTCGAAGTTGTCTCAGCATAGTGAGTTATTCATGTATATTTACACCTTTGCTTTGACTAATTCCGATGAAGTGGCAATGTTGGGCTAAGTCTTGGGTATCCAACCGTTTCGACATCTCTATCTGGAGAGTTTACCGTTTTCAGCAAGCTTGTCGTTTGTGTAATGATGATCCGGGGTCGTCACCGTGGATTGCCTTACAAGCTCGACCGTGCCATTGTTCTCCCAGGCGAGCGCCTAGAAGAAGATCACCGAGATCGGGATGAGGTACAAACCTCGGTTGACTGAAGGAAGTCTCATGAGACCTGCTCGCAGATTTCAGAATGACAACGATGTGCTATTATAACAGGCTGTCATAATAGGAATCATTCGTTTGATAAGAATGGCCGAATTCGTTATCATAAATCATAAACACGAAAATATCATGACAGTGGTAATATTCATCCTCCCATTTACCATCATCAACGTGGTCAAGGCGGCCCTAAGCACATCCGACTGACAGTGAAGCCTCAATCATTTTAATGGCAGAGCTTGAAAGCATTGAGTGTAGTATATTGTATTTACTGTTATTTCCCGGCATTAGCATGACTGACCACATGCTTTCTATCTTTAGTTAAAAGACCCAGCAATAAAGCTTGATCGATGAATTATTATTGGCTTGCTGAACCTGCTCCTTCTACCGTATGTACATATTTGGTGGGTGAGAAAGCATTCCCCATGGTAGCGCGGTCCCAAATAAGCGAACTTATGAGCCCAAACTTCCACAATTTATTCCAAGTACCATCTCCGGGTATCCACAATTTCCATGGATGATCTTCCAAGTCTTCCTAGCAAGTCTGCTCCCATGATGTGTGTACTTAGACCTTGTGGCGGCTTCTTTCCCCGTCCCATTTCATGTCGGACCAGGGAAAGCATTCGTTAGGGTCGCTCCGGGACGTCTTCTAACGGACTCAATTTCGGATAGTTTCGGGCTCTGCGACGGAAGAAGACTCGCTTAGCCCATTTCCAGGCTTCAACGCCGATGAAGAACAGAACAGCCTCGACCGCCACTATGCCCCATTCCCAGGTGATGGGCTTATGTTTGAAGACGACGTCATTCAAAACGGGGATGTAGAGGATAGGGAACATGGTGATCCATCCGGCCATGATGGACCAGAAAAGGAACTTGTTCCGCCAGACGTCGTACATCCACTGAGTAAAGTATTTATTGGATTTTGGCTGCATGCGGAAGAACGACCGGCGCATGTTGACCATTTCCCAAGCCAGGAACAGGGCAAACCAAGTCAGGCACACGAACGTGGTGGCTCGTGCTCGGAAGACTAGTTCGCAATCTTTGATCTCTTCTGACCACTCCTTGTTGCAGCCACGGGCCAGGTTACCGTCGCCGAATCCCCACATGCGGACAGAGAATGCCGCCAGACAGAGCGCTGCGGTCCATATACCATACACCAGAATGTCGATGATCACCTCCCAGGTGAATATGCCTTGCTTACTCTGGGGAGGACGGCTCATGATGTCAGGGGCAGCCACCTCCATTCCAAGGCCCATGTCAGGCATACCTGATGTGATCATGATAACCCACAATATCTCAACCGGTGACAGAGGGAAGACAGATTGATTATCGGCATCTTTGAAAGCCAACCCGATGAGCAAGGTACAGGCCTGAGCGATGTTTTCTGATAACAGATGAAGCACAAATTTCTGAATATTATCAAAGATACGACGACCCTCTTCAACGGCATTGAGGATCGAAGCGAAGTTATCATCTGTGAGGATAATATCAGACGCATCTTTGGCCACATCCGACCCTGCCTGTCCCATAGCGATACCAACGTCGGCATGCTTGAGCGAAGGAGAATCATTCACTCCATCGCCAGTCATAGCGGCAAAGCGGCCACGGCGATGAAGGGCGTCGATCATGCGCACCTTTGTCTGCGGAGCACATCGTGCAATGACCAAAGGCAGTGTCGGCAGCGCATCTACCTGCTCGTTGTTTAGGTTGTCGAATTGACTGGCAGTCATTAACATGGCGTCCGCAACATCAGCCGCGACGGCATTGAAATCAGCTGGAAGAATTCCGACTTGCTGGGCAATCGCTTTGGCTGTGCCAGGATGATCACCAGTGACCATATGGACAACTATACCAGCTCGGTAGCAGGCCTGAATTGAACCCGCTGTCTCGGGGCGCGGGGGATCGTACAAACCGATCAGTCCAAGGAAGCAGAGATTATTTTCTGCATCTTCCCGATTCATGTCGGAGTCTTCGAGCAGCTGGGTCTTGAAATTGTACGGTTTGTTGGCCAGGGCCAAGACGCGAAGTCCTAATTTAGCGAGTTCCTCCATGTTCTGGAGAATCTTTTCGCGGTGGTCGTTGGTCATTGGAATAGGGGTAGATGAATCCTGATCCCAGACAACGGAGGTGCAAGAGTCTGTGATACGCTCGACCGCACCCTTGCTAAACACCATTGTGTGATCTTCATGGGGGGTGATTTTGTTGAAAATCACGGACATTTTCTTGACAGTTGAGTCAAATGGGAATTCAGCCTTTTGGTGCCACACTGCACCCTGACCCTTAGTCCAGCGTTCGCGGTTCCAGTTGAATCTTGATGCAAATACATGAATAGCAATTTCTGTGGGTTCACCTCGCGCGTGCCATTCGCCTTCCTCGGACTTGTAAACATGAGAGAGGTTGGCCATAGAAGCGACGTCTAGAAAGTCTTCCAACTGGCGGTTTCCCAAGACCAGACCTTCGGGGGTTTCCGCAGCAGTACCTTCCTTCTCATTGGATTGTACTTGTAGAGGAGGCAGGGGGATAAAAGAAACATCTGCAGCGGTAGGGTTGAAAGGCTCGTTGGATGGGCCGACAGAATACGTCCCTCGAGACGGAATCCATGCCTTTTTCACAACCATCTTACCCTGAGTCAATGTACCGGTCTTGTCGGAACAAATATCGGTCACGGCCCCAAGGGCCTCCAAAGAGTCTAATTTGCGGACAACCACGTTCCGCTCAACCATTCGTTTGGTACCCACTGCCATGGTTATAGTGAGCACGACGACCAGGCACGCCGGAATCATACTAATACCGGTGGCAACAGCATACATAATGACCTCGGTGTTGCTGCTAAATAAGTTTGCAGCCATGCAAATGATAGCAAACACAACGGCGATTCCAAATAGTAAACAAGCAAGCTTTGAGAGCTTCCTCTGTAAGGGCGTTCCGACATTGACACCGAGGAATCGACCCACGGCATCCGTCCAGGTGAGAGTCCAGGCCTGAACGTACGAACGTTTCTTGGTCTCACCGTTGGGACCGCGCTTCACGGGACGACGTTTGCTGTCACTGGCCCGCAAGGCAAGGGCAATAGAACCGATTTCAGTAGCCATGCCTGTACTGACAACCACACCACGGGCACGACCACGTGTGACGGTACTAGAACTATAGGCGATGTTGAGGCGATCTCCAGGGCCAGTATTTTCTTTAAATATCGAGTCGCATTCCTTCTGGACGGGCAGGGACTCGCCAGTCAGGAGAGCCTCATCGGTCTCAAAGTTGACTGCCTCAACCAAACTGATATGTTGAGCAAATTAGCCAACAATTGCCTCAATGTCTTCAAAATCACAGTTGCACCATAAGAGGTAACTCACCGAATATCTGCTGGAACGGTATCCCCCGTTCTCATTTCGACCATGTCACCCGGCACAATCTCTGATGATGGCACCGAGAATGTCTGACCACCTCTCGAGACAATTCCCGTCGGCGAAGACAGCGAATGTAACGACTCCATGGTTTTTTCCGCGGCATACTCCTGGAAGAACCCAACAATGATATTCAAGACAATGACAGCGCAAATCACTCCGCCCTCAATCCAGGACCGAATTCCAAAACTGACCGCCATGGCCAGAATCAACACCTGCAACAAACAAATTGGGTCAGATTCGGAGAGTTTTAGACAAATTTCAAGATATCATCACAAGGGATAGCGGGCCGCTTACTAGCATCATTGCGTTGGCTACCTGGCGCACGAAAATCTTGACTAACGATACGCCTTCGCCTTCGTCCAGTTTATTGGGACCATATTGCTGTAGACGACGACTCGCTTCGTCAGGTGCCAGACCCTCGTCCAGTCCAGTGCTGAGTTCTTTGATCACGGCTTCATAAGTTTGTGTGTGAGCAGGCTGGGTTAGTGGGCTGCCGCCCGACCCGGAGTCGGGGGTGATGTTTTGCTTCTCGTCTGGCATTAGGAAATTGGCCTCGGGTGAGTAGATAACTATAGCTGGCTGTGATGACTACCGAGTTGTTTGCCCGTCTGTCTTTCTTTCGGAGCTATCACTGGCTGGAGAGTTGAACAGAATGTAGCTCTGCGTGGGGAGGAAACTAGTTCTTCAGGATTCAAGCGAAAACTCCATTGTAAGAGACGGGGTTATGGCCTTGGCGCCAAGATGTTGGGCTGGGTGCGTAAGACGGTCATCTCGTGGTTGATAGCCATCGGGCAATAGTCAATGGAACACGAAGAGGAATTATATCCGGCAACTCTGATTGGGGCTCATCCAATGACGGCAATACTGCCAAGAATCTTTCATGTGCCAAGATTGGGTCCTAACTGCCAAGAATGCCTAGTACCAGTAAACGGAGAATTGCCAAGATTAAAGACCTCGGGCGTAGCGGAATTCCGAGCTTTGGCCACCTTTTCAGTCTTGTTGCATCAGTACGTGGTGAGTCTGCCTCGTCATGCAAAGCAAAAATCTGCTTACTTCCTTGTCCTTACTGTTCCGTCGGTAAACGAAACGATTAGACCCACCAAAGTACGTTGAGTTTTGCATACGCGACTGTCGTTTGATGAACCTAGGAGCAAGCCCAGTCGGCTGCTCTACGACGCGAGAATATATACAAGTGTCTTCAAAATCTAATTTAGCCAACAACCCAAACCTTTCCATTTTTTTCACTCTTGAAAGACGACATGAGAGCCCTAACGATCGCGGAGTCAATAATCGCCATGGAGGCATCCCGTCTATGAAAGGCTTTGATCATGCGGACCTTTTCTTGGGGACCACAGCGCGCAATGACTTGAGGTAAGATAGGCAATGCATCGACCTCTTCATCAGCTAATTTATCGAATTCGCCCGCCGTGGTGACAGTAAGCTTCTCGAGTTCGGTGGGACTTCGTTCAAATTGGTTGAAATAATTCCAACTAGCTAAGCGACGGCTTTCGCGGTTGCCGGGCGGTGTCCGGTTACCCTGTGTACCGAAATGCCAGCGCGATAGGGCACCGGCAGTTTCAGGGCGAGGATGATCATAAATTGCTCAAGCATGGTCTCATCTGGATATACGAGAGGGTATGAAGATAACAGATCGCATGGGCCAATATGGAAATATTTTTGCTGGATGTTGTAGGATTGGTGTCCACCATCTCTTGGCCAAAGAGCAACGTAGGGCCGAGAACCGAGCTGAATCCGGAATGACTTGCCCCTTCGTCATCATTTGTAAGAGCCAGCCCGCTACTTGGGTTCAAGTGCCCAATAGGTTATCACTCTCATGGAAGTGGTAAAACTCCGCTGCAGGAAAGGGTTAGCAACCCTGCGGCAAATTCTTGGCTATCAGGCGGAAGAAGCGGGGTTAAAAGGTGTCCGAAGAGATCTGCCTAGGAGATCGGCTTCTGCCAAGATTAAAACTCCACAGCATGATAATTTGTGGCAGAACCGGGTTGAGCCGAACAAATTAGTGTTCCCTATTATCCCATTTATCCCTTGCATGGCTTTTCTTGATTCCCCGTTTCCTTGGGTGGCTGGAATCAACAAGAAGTATGTGGGAGCAAGAAAATTTGTTGACAGGGTGCCCATCCTCCATGAGAAGCACCGAATCATGATTCATCGACCGCCCTGCTTGCCAAGTCTGTTCCCTGAAATACCGAGTACCAAGTGCTCGCGACCGTCCCCTCAGTAAAACAAAGGACTAAATGCAACACAAGTACTCAACTTCAATTCCGTCTATTTTGCACACATTGTCATCTTTCAGCTGCCTGCCAACTTAGCTGCTCTGAGAAGCAAGAAGATGGCCGACTGTCTTCAGAAGCTGCTACAGCCAATATCCAAACTTTTTCATTTTTTTACTCTTCAAAGACGACACGGACACGAAAGCCTTGGCGATCGCAGAGTCGATGGAAATTCGAGCTATGACAGCATGCTTCCACCTCTAACTACGATAAGAAAACGTGGCTTTGGAAATGGAAGGTTCACGCTCGAAAATGGGGATCACTGCCACTTCCTGGGACCGGCATCGTCGAAAAGTCGGTGTCCTAAAAAGGATCGAAACACGACTTGGCAATCATTGAAAAGCAAAATCACACAAGCTTGCTCGCAACCATCGGCGGATTCGGAATGGGGACAATGGATCCAGAATCAACAAACCGGCATCGTATCTGGTGAAAACATGGCAGTCATAACTCAGAAATATGGACAAATATGCGATATTATTGACCACGGCTCCTCTGGAGTCGTCCTTCTGTCGCACAAAGTCCAAGGGTGCAACCCGAACCTTGATCGCTTTTATGCAATCAAGGTCTTCCGCCGCGGCGCAGAATCAACTGGAACGGCTTACCGGAGGCGTGTCGATGCCGAGTATTTCATATCTGCTTCATTGCAGCATCAAAATATTGTTCGGACTTTTGACCTACTTCGAATTGGTAATGACAGTCTTTGCGAGTGCTTGGAGTATTGCTCTGGCGGGGATCTGCATTCATTGGTTGTTGCATCCGGTCAGCTGGAACAGGCGGAGGCCGACTGTTTCTTTAAACAGCTTATCCATGGAATCGACTTTATCCATGAAATGGGCATTGCTCATCGCGATTTGAAGCCCGAGAATCTTCTTCTTAGCCCCAATGGTTGCCTCAAAATTTCCGATTTTGGGAGCGCTGAGTGTTTCCGCCTTAGTTGGGAAAATCATGTACATATGTCCCGGACACGTCGTGGTTCACGCCCTTTTGTATCGCCGGAACAATATCTATGCGAGGAATTTGATCCTAGATCGGTCGACATCTGGGCTGCCGTTATGACTTACCTTGTGATGAGAACAGGTAGGATTCCATGGAAGATAGCGACCGATCAAGATGAGTCTTTCCGAGACTACGTCGCAGACCGTATTGTTGGAAGAGGGCATTTCTTTATTGAGGAAATGTGCAATGTCAGTTACCGATCTCCCGTCCTATCTGGCTGTTGTGCTAACTCTGCAGCAACAGATAGCATGTCGACGAGTCATATATTCGATGCTGGATATTGAATACGTGCGCCGGTCTATCGCAACTGAAATTCTTGATTCTCGGTGGTTACAGGAGACTAAAACTTGTACAGCCGCTGATTCAAGAATACTTTAGCTGGATGAGTGTATTCATGACATGACCGAAATAAGATATATAGATACAACAGTAATACGATCCAGTTACATATCCTGGCCCCCTCCCTTCTCGAAAGCTTATGCTCATCGTTTCAATCCAACGACTCACTAGGCAACAAAACTTCGGTGTCGCCCTATCCATGCAACAACCACCAAAATCAACTTGCTGACGGTATACCACGCATCACATCATGAATAGCTCTTGCCACGATATCCGAAACTCATACCGACACAGTTGTACGCTGACACGGCCGCGGAAATGGTATTGAGCGTCGAAAACGACACGGTTTGGGATTGGTAGTGATCTGGCAATCGTTACATAGAGTACCGCAAGTGAGATCCACAAAATGTCTTTACAGTTACGTTCATCATTCTCATATTTTAGATTGCAGTAATTTTTTGTGTACTCCTTGCACCCACCGCCCGCATTCCCCGCCTTCGAACTCGCCCAAAAATTTATACTTCGATTCTGCAGCCTGTTCCAAATTTATGGAACTCACTTTTTCTCCATTTACCGTGGCAAGTGCACGCGCAGTAGAAGTGAGTATTTTGATCTGAAGTTTGGAAGTTGACGTAGGAAATTTGGATATATCTGCCAGAAAAAACCTCGCGCCCGCTGAGAGTCAAACGCTCCAAGCCCTGGAAAATTCAAGGTTCACTGATTCAGTAGCACTACTGCCGGTGAAAAGTGTCTTATAATTAATGCAGTTTGAAGGCCCATGTCAGCTTAATAAGGCTACCGCACGTTTCGCGTGCCCGTGCCGGTGAACGAGTAAGGAAAATTGGGCGAAAAGAGCCTTCCGGCACCCATTACTGGTCCTCCCAGTGTCAACTCAACCGTCATGACTGGCTTGCATTTCGTCAGGAAACTGAACCCCCCGCTTGCGAGGACAAGGGGCCGGCATGATCGTTTCCGAATTGATATCATGTTGGCTCGCGGCAGCCGATGCGGCAGCCACCGGCGACGGATCGACCGAAGTACTTGCCTCCGAGTGAGGATGGCGAGGGTCTGACGAGTCCGGGATGATAGCGGTACGCTGGATGCACCTGGATTCAATGTCGCTGGGCTTTCCGGCGAGATATTTACCCAGCACTGGGATCCTGCGCCGAATTTCCACTGCGCGGGGCTCGTCGCTCAGCACCCGGCCGAAGGTGCGAGGCGCGAGGTATCCCATCTTTCCAAGCGGGATGCTGAGCCCATGAACGACCTTATGCAGCGTTAGATAAAAACTTGAACTATAGAGGCATAGATTTTGTGACTTACAATGCTACAGACTGCGAGGAACCAGACGACAACCCGAATTGTTTCCGCAAGATCCTTGACGTCGCTTCGAGGAACACCATCCTCGTCACTCAAGTGTTCCTCGATGAACTCCATGCTCACAAATAGGTAGAAGACAGCAGAGACGCCAATAGGCCCAAAGAAGCCCACGAAAACAGCTTGTCTGACCTCTTCAATCTGGGGGATCCACTTGTGCATGCCAAACACCCAAGGCAGACGTCGCAGGAGAAGCACTAGGATACCAAGGACGACGAGACGCCAAGTCGAGATCACGGAATTATTACCAAAGTGGTCCCAGGGTATATAAGCGCCGTACCACAGGAAGATGGTGACGTTGAGGAGCATGTCGATTGTCGGCTGCAGGGAGTCGTCCTTGGTCTCCAACCGGAACCAGTCGTCCCAGGTAAACGTGTTACCCGCGATAAAGCAGGCGAGGACATCATCGGTGCCAATGAGACCGCACGTGCCCAGAACAAAAAGAGCAAGAGCAATGGCGAAGACGAGGAAGCTCTCGCGGTCGACGTAGTTACGCTCCTCTGCCCAGTGCAGCAGCTTCTTGCCCACCCAGCCTACCACGGCGCCATACAGAATGCTGAGGATGATCGTGTATCCCCAGGTGAAGCCGAACCAGAGGCCCATGGCATCTCTGGCGCCGCCGGACGCGGCACCTGAGCCCACGTACTTGATGAGGTAGAGCGCAAAGAAGAGAAATGGGTAGCCGAGCCCGTCATTGGTGCCCGACTCCGCAATTATGAGGTTTTGCAGGCCCTTGGGAATGTTGTGATCCGCAAACTTGCCCTTCACGATGACGGCGGAGAGCACGGGGTCCGTGGGCGTCACGCATGCGCCGACGGCTAGGGCGTGCAGGAAGCTGGGCGTCCTAGCAAATGCCCAGATGAGCAGGCTCGTAGTGATCCACATGGCCGTCATACCCGGGCCGACAAGCAGCAGGACCGACTTCCATTCCTTCTTTAGGTACTTGCTGGGGAGCTGGACGCCAGCGAGGACCAGTTGAACGCCCAGAACCAGCCGGGAGAAATTGAGCGTAATGGCATTGAGATTGTCGCGGCATTCGATGACGGAGACGCCCTCGTGGTTACACTCTGCGTAGTCTCGGGGCCGGATAAAGTTGGCCCCATTAGGTCCAAAGGCGATGCCAACTAAGAGTGAAATGACTGCATTTTCGCCATGAGCTAGTGATCTTGGTGTTTCGTTTATTCCAGGACGCCTTCCCCAGTTCCGAGTGCCTTCGCACTGGATGAATAGCGACGTCCCTGAATCCAAGCAAACGGTCGCACGAAGGGAAACTCACGGGCTTCAGAGACATAGTAATTCTCCTTTAGGAGGTACGATATGAGGCCAAATAGGGATATGAAGCTGCCCAATAGAGAGACAATTATGTTGAAATTAGAGAGCTGGAGCGGGACCGCCCAGATGTTGTGCACCATCCCGGCGGAAGAGGACGTTAGCAGGAGAGGTTGGTGGCGGTGATCACGTGAGAAAGGCCCAGTGAGATAGAGATCATGGTTCGCTTTGTCGAGGATGAGGTCGACGAGTTGGTGGCAAAGGTTGGCAGAGATGGTGAGACTCGAGCTGAGATTGCTTCTCCAATGCTAACGATAACGACGCCGATGATGTAGGACGACTGCGAAAAAAAGGTTGGTAAGGAGAAAAGGGAATTTTCCCATGGATCTTCGGCTCCTCGGCCAACAGGGGCCATGGAGGGTTCTTGCCATTCGTAGACAATGGGTCGACAGTGGAGCCAGCCGATGGTAGCGCTCAAACCATGGATGGTTGCGATAGACGGTTTTGCGCCGATAGCGGCACGTGCCACGTTTTGGCTTACGGTCTGCTGACTAATCATTGTGTATTTGTAGCCAAAAATAGGCGAGGCAGTATTGAGATCGGACGCTGGAGCTCGCCGAGTAGTATCTCGCTATCCCTGGCTATTCCAAAACTTGTCGCTAGGAAATATTACGAATCACAGTACAGTCCAACGGATAGGGCTGTTGCGAATACGAATATTCGCAGGAATCTGTTGAGATATGTGATTGTCTGATTGATTCTCATTGACTCAAGGAGTAATCTTTTACAGGGGCGGGATGCTCCATATACATCTCTGTTCCTAATCCTTGCCATAAGGTTCAGCCACCATGATACTCAACAATTCGCAAGTTTAAAAGTCGCGAATAATATTCGTAACAGCCCTACCAACGGCAAACTATTTCTTTAGTTTCCTTTTCCATAATGAACTAATTCTTAGTGAAGTAAGACAGGTTTGTTTCGTCATTACGCACCAAATGGATCCTGCGCCAAAGCCTACCTACCGAGACAAACTGTTCAAATCAACGACTGGAATTTAGTAAATCGCGAAATGTTTAGGCTCTAGCGAGATGATTGATACTGTCTCTCTTGAAGATGGGGTTCTCGCGCTACATGGCGCGTTGCTGCTTTCGTGACGCGAAGATGTTTCGCTACTCACTCCATTTCATTTGGTCTGCCTCGAGGTCTGCCAGATTTTCGTCAATTTAATCACACTCAATCTGAACGTGTCAGATCTCAAAATATCTCAGTCTGGGTTCAATTCATATCAATTGACTCCAGTGCTTTTGACTGTTCCATGCACTCAGCACTTTTGTCAATTTCATATGCTGGTTGGTAAAGACAGTCAAATTCGAAGGATTGCCTGATCACTCAATTAGTGTACCAAGCAAACTTGGTGAAGACACCAAGGAGCGATGCTTGAGCTGCGTCGCTCGCGGGGTCCGCGATCTTTATAAACACAAAGCCCATCTCGAAACTCTTGTTCAATCTGAATCTGCCTTACTACAACGCTATATTACGGTTTACTGCCTGATGATGTTCTTTGATTGGCTATGCGCAATTGGCGTCCTTAAATACGGTGGAAATATCTGTAATTGCATTGGGCATGGAAGCAATCGGACTTCATCAAGACTCGACGATATTGTTGGTATAAAAATTGGAAAGGATGCTTTGGGACACTTCGCCAGCCTTGGTGAGCCATTGTTGGAAGCGGTTTCTCCGAGGCAGGGTTTGAGGGTTGATCCGATATTGCAAGACCTTTCTGATAGATATGGGGATTTGGAAAGATATTTCTGGACCGCTATGAAACACCTTGGACGTGGCAAAATGCTAGTGTCACGCGAAATAATCGCAGGAGGACACGGGCTAGAGTTCAGAGTGATGACTATTATGGCATTGAAACTCTGGGGTCATTGAAACTCTGGGGTCATTGAAACTCTGGGGTCATTGAAACTCTGGGGTCATTGAAACTCTGGGGTCTCTGAACAAATAGACGTAATAAACGAGATTTCTCTTGCGAAGTACGAACTCGAGAAGTTTTCAGCGAATACGGGCTGAGAGCCTAGTAGCTCTTGGGTCGATCTATAATCGCCTTGTCTGGTGGCCTGCGAGAGCACTCGAAACGGGGATGGCCTAAGGCCTGAGGTGGTCATTACTAAGCTCACTTGCGCGTCGTCAGTCAAATCTCAGTTGCGATAGAGAGGTGAACACATTTAGCTTGAAGAACAAGGTGGAAATGATGTGATCAAATGGCATCTGAGGTATGGATCGTCTATATCCCAGGCACAAACCGACGAAAACTCTGAACTAAGCCAGAATTACTTGGTTTCGATCCTGAACCCGGTTTAGTAACATTCCACGTACTTCGGCTAAGCTCAACTACCAGTTCAAAGGGCAGCT